AAAAATATGAACGTGATAAGGAATTTCTTAAAAAAATAGACGTGGTACAAGCATTAACATCGCTGCTAGTTAAGGAAAAAATAGGCATGTTAGCCAGAAAAACTGTTATTAGTTAAGGAAAATCAGGCATGGTACATTGCAGTTAATCAAAAATTATGTGTAGTACAAGCGAAAACAGTCATTATTAGTTAAGCAAAAAATAGTAGTAGTGGACTGTGTGGTTAAGCCAAAAAATATACGTGATACCAGCATTAAATTAAGCATAAAGTAAACACGGTGCACTGAAGGATTAATCCAAAAATACACGCCTTAGAAAAGCATTGAAAATTGTGATTAGTTAAGTAAAAAGGACACGGAACAGGGTAGTTAATGTGGTATAACCATTGAAATAATCCAATTAATTAGGAAAATACGCGTGGTACAACAACTGAACAATCTCTGCTAGTTAGTCGAGAGAACAAGTGGTACAACCACCGAAAATCACTATCGGTTAACCAAAAAAAAAAGTAAACTTTGTACACTGTAAGACTAATTCACAATTAATTGACCAAAAAATGAATTAACCAAAGTATATAAGATGATTCTATAGAATTTGTTAATCAAAAAACAATCGTGGTATCGTACACTACGACCGAAAGATACAAACTTGCGTTAAACAGCAGAAAAATATATAGAAAGATAGTGTAGTGTCATTACGTGACTGAATTATAATTTGGCCTGTTGGTCAGGTGTTTCTATAAAATACATAGACTATGTTACGTCGTTACCAAGGTAACAATAAAAATAGTGGTGTTATTTTGAAACTGATAGTGGTAATAACCTAGAATGGTTGAAAGAATGTTATTAAGTTAAGCAAATAAAAATTTTCATAATTTATCCTGTGAAAAGATTAAGTTCCATTAAACATGAATAGGTTATGGAAGAGTGATTTTTCCATACAAAAAAAAAATATATATAACTCGTATATATGACTTANTATATATGAAAAAATCCTTTGAATATATTTATTTAATTTTTTTAAATTAAAATAAATAATAATTTAATATTTAATAAATTAGTAAATGGCATTTACGTAAATACTTCTTTTTTTTATATTGAGAAAGTGTTAATTATTTAATGTATGGATATTTTAATATATTATGCAAACAGAAGTGTTAATTATATTATATGAATTGCATATTTAACTAGTGTATTATTATATTATAATAATTTGTCCTAAATTTGTCCCTAACATCCCAGTTTATACTAAAATGATGAAGCATAAAGCGTCGATATTATGAAATATCGACTGCTGTTATGCTGTTATGCTGTTATATGGGGTGTGGCTAAATAATATTTATTTGGAAGATTGTATTTCTTTACGTTACATGAGTTAATGATTGTGTTTTTGTAAGCTACTAGCATCTTATGGTGTGTTTTTATAAGATATTGACAGTGCTTTTATATTATAACAGCATTGCTGCTAGTGTTTTCTGTAAGGTACAGTACTAGCGCTACTGATAGTGTTTTCATTAAGGTACTGTACCAGCGTTATTGATAGTATTTCTATAGGGTAACAACGTTACTGACTGTTTCTGTAAGGTACCCACGCCACTCCTATAGATGTTTCTACTCATTCATAGCCCAAAGATGCTGTACTGTACATTACTTCCTAAGCTACTTTACTAGGCCTAGTAACATCATTTTGCTCCTATAACGAAGTCCACATTTTTTTTTCTCACTTAATTTTACTTATTATAATATTAATTAGTTAAATTTAATTAGCATTTTTCGCTATTTTTAAATTAAACTCGAATAGTATTTGCATTATTTGAACTATAAAGCGCATCTAAAAAATCATTTTTTATTAAATAAGAAAGTAAATTTTTTAATGTAGAATTACTTTAATATATAAAAAGTAATAATTTTACATTTAAAAATATATATTTACATCTAATTTTTTTTATAATTATACCTTTAAATCTCGATTAATTTATGCAAAAATCTAACTTAGATTTTATAGTTCGCGAATAGAGCGCAATTTATACATTTATTACGCTTTGGAATACTTAGAATTATAGGTTTATAAATTAAAAATTATATTAAAAATAAACAAAATTATTTACTAAATTTAAATTTTACATAATTTACAAGAGGATAGTATAAGAATAATTAGAAAAACTATAATTAGAGCTTAAATTGCGCCCTTGATAAAATATTCTATGGAAAAACTTCGCATTTTTCCATAGATTAGAGTATAAATATCTAAATTTTTTGGATAAAAATAAAAATTATATATTCTTTAGAGTTTCGAGACTTATACTGGGATTTAGAGACTAGAAAATGGGCTCTTATTTCTGCAAGTGTGTTGTATATTCATGATTTTAACAGAGGTAAACGAGATAATTTTTCGTAAGGTCTCAGGTGGGTTATTTTAGCAGGAACGGAAGCGGGTATCAATTTCATCCACGTGTTACACACTAATTTGGAGGTCATGACCTGCTAGTTGCAGTTAACAAGCGACTTTAGAGGGAAGCTTTAAAAAAAAATTCCGATTTTAATCGTTGAAATACTAAAACAGTGGATGCCGTTCGTGGATTTAAAGACGTATTCGACCCTTTAAAATTTGATCATTTTAATAAGAAAATTAAATTTAAAATGTGTTCTATTATTTAAATATAATTAATTATCGACTTATTAAATATTTTTATAAAGATAAAATTAATTTTAAAACAGAATAAGACCTATATCTTAACTTAAGTTTATGTTAATTTAATAGGTGAATGCTGATTAGAAAAGTTGTTTTAAAAACATTACGTATTCAGTTAGAATGTTTTAAAAGTTAACGAGAAAATTAACTTTATTTCCGGTCCTTAATGTGCTGTATAATAAAAGTGTACTGTTTATTAAAGCATGTTAGTTAGCGCATCTTTTATCAAAGTGCATCTATGACTCTCAGCAGGTATGATTGCTTCCACGTTCTTCATTAACATCTCATTTCCTTTTCTATATTGCCTATTACTCTTCAATTTCTACAAAGTGCAAATAATTACACTAGCCAATTCTCTACTTTAAATCCTACATTTTTTTATATATATAATTTTAACGATTTTTTAACAAGACTCTCATCACTTCTCCTTGGTATAAGTCGATTAACTTACTTTCAATTAAATTATTATTATGTTTAAATGCATAAAATAAATAAAAATTGTATTTAAAAAAACTAAATTTAAAGTTATTATGTATTTTTATATTCAAAAATAAATTTTTCTGCGAGTTTTTTAAAGAGAAAACTTTCAACATTTAATGAATTTTAGTGCAATTAAATTACTTTTTACGAGTTTACTTGTATTAAATTTACAAATAATAAAACCCGAAAGACTCGAACAATTAGCATAATATATAATAAATTGTATAGAATTATTAGAGTATGTAATCTTAGAAAGCGTAGGCCTTCGTATGTAGAATTAGTTGTATGCGATTTTTATTATTTAATAAGGGCATGAAAGAAATTTTATTGCATACTTATACATTCCTATGACATTAATATGATGTGAGAACAATCGTGTCTTATTGAATTATACAGTAAGCCATTTACATTACAATAGAAAAATTATCCAGAAGATAAAAGACAAACATTGCAATGTTAAATATTAGGACAAGTTTTGTGTTATGTTTATTATATAAAATAATATATATTTTTTAAATGCTTAGTTAACTTAGTTCATTTTTATAGGAGGATTAGTTCACATTCTTGTTACGTCGAGTGGAATAATTGACATTCCATCACTTTTATGATATGAATCAAGGATTTATATTCTCATAAATTAATTCTGTATCTGTTAATGTAGTTATAGAACATAATTAGTTTCTATATAAAGGCATGCATAATCAAATTATTGATTTTTTAAAGTAGTTTTTGGGTTGATAAAGTTGAATGAGTTGGAAGAAAATGGGACAATTTTTTGGATAAAAATTGAATTTTTTAATGAGCAGATGTTGGAAATGTGTCTATAATTAAACTCCTTGATCTCTTAGAAATGATATTAAAAGAGTTTAAGCTAGTTGTATAATGATACAGGTGCAAATTTATATAGAAAAATTAGTGTTACACCTGCATTCTTTCACCTGTTCCTTAATTGTTTATTTATATATATATTTTTTAAATTAAATACTTAAATATCAATTAAATATTTAATTTAATCATTCACAGAAGCTCCTCACGTTCAAATTTATATCATAGAATGGTTCAAACTTAATATATAAAATTTAAATGAATAATAATAATCATAATAAATTTGTTTATTTTAATCTTTAGATTATGAAATTTTATTAAAATATAAACCATTAAAATATTATTTTATTAATAAAAACATTTAAAAAATTGAACATTTTGAAGCACGATTTACAAATCGAATTTTGCATTTACGTTTTATTTTGTTTTAAAAATAAATTTATTAAATTTTAATATTTAAAGAAAAATTATATGAAAAATAATAAAATNGCTGATTTTGACAATGGTTACGTGTGACAAAGTCTCTATTTTATATTTTTTTTATAATTATTTGCGTCACTCGCATCCCACTACAGACCTTACAAAAATAGATTTTCGTGCTTAATATTTTTAAACTTTTTGGATAAATTATCAATTTAATAAGTATTTTTCGTATATTTTATAATCGTTAGTGTGTATTTTTGTTAGTTTTGTGACCGTTTCTGTGCGTTTTTAAGGGAATTTTTGACGTTGCAACGATTTTCTAGCCTATCTTTTAACGTTGCAAATGTTTTTCTTGGCACTAATGCTAAATGATAACCGATAAAAAAAAGAAATACATTACAAGTTACAAATATTTATAATGTCAATGGGGCAATAAGGATATGTTTACTTATTCATTTATTATACTATAGCGTGAGGCAGTCTTTTTTTTTCCTGTGTAGTTTAATGAGTAAAGTAGCCTACTGACACGAAGGATTTTGAACAAAATCCTTAGTGTTTAATTGTAAAAAGGATGAGAACTTACCTGGTATTCTATGAGGTAAGAATCTCGGATGCCGCGTCAACAACCAAGGATATAAGGGATAAGTTTCTCTGCCCAGCAGAAACGGTGACACAGGTTGAAGTTGGGGTGGACAAGAATTAAGTCCCACTTGGCCGGCATACTGCGTATCGGCATAAATTCCCGATCTGACTCCACACAAACTGTCCAGGTATGCAGCGGGAGTGTTGGAAACCACAGGGAAAGTCGGTACAGGAATCACAGGTTGTTCATTCCTACAATGCGTTGGCGACCTAACGTGAGCGGGTGGTGGACTCAGTGATTTAGTTTCATTTCTATTACATTCCCGTACGGGTGAAGTTTCGCCCGATTCTTTACCAACGATAGATTCAATAGAAAAACCCAATTTCGGTTTGGAGCATACAGGTAGAACTGGAATGGGTGCGAGAGGCATCATTCTGTAATGCGATGCCGACTGTTGCCGGCCCTGATGTGTGTGTGTGTTATTTCAGCTTCAGCTTCACTTCATCTTAGCTCAAGTCGATAATTATCCGACGTTTCTGGTATTTTGATAGGCTAATTACCGCACTAAGAATGTTATAGACGATAATGCAGACTCCCGATTGGACGAGCCAACTCTAAATGCGTTATACGAAACGTGCTATTTGCTGCGGAGCTGTGGTAATTGTCGCTAACTGAGAACAGAGAACGGAGCGTCACTGCTTGACTCCTATTGGTTGAATTCTGGTCAGGCTGGACCAGTTTGTGGCGTCACTCTCTCCTCTAGCCTATATACGAACAGAAGGTGAATGATACTCACACATAACACCATTTACACTATTGCAACTTCATTACTCTTAATTATTTCTGTACGGGCTTGCATATTTTTAGATAATAATTACTTTATGATAAGCTAAATTTTTATATTCTTTAAATATTTAATGTATTTCCTATCATTTATACTAATTAATAAATATTAATGATGATGTTATACACTCATATCTTCCTTGTAAACCTATGCTAAACCTATATATTTTAATTTATGCACATACTGCCATGATAAAGACAAATTTTTTCTTATTTTTATGAAATATCATTGACGAAATTCTTGTATAATTTCATATTTAAGAAAAAAAAAATCTATTATAATTTTAATTACAAATAACTTTTAAATACTTCAATTTAAAATAAATAAAAACTCTTAATTAAAATGACTTTTACTTTTAATTTTTCTTTTTATTATAATAAAAAATTCTTTATTATTATTATTTTTTTTTTAATTTTCATTTTTTTAAATAATTAAAACCATGATTAATTATTAAATAATTTTCATTATATTTTTTTCTGATTTCGTCATAAAAATTTTTTTAACTATAAGCCAATTAAAAAAAAATTATTTTATGTATTAGAAGTCTTATAATTAATTATACTAATTAGAAGTTTTAGTATTTATACGTTTATGTTTAATAAATATATTTATTTTTATTTGCTAGACAAATTTTAATCTATGAAAAATGAGCAAAAATACCAACAAAATAGGGAAAATTTTCTTGTATTTTTCTCAGGTTTTTTGCTTATTTTTCTCAGTTTTTTTACCCAGTTTTTATTCCTTTTTATTTTTTTTTCTTATATTTTTTTTCAATATATCTTTACTTAAATCTTCAAAAAATTATAATAAAAATTAATTTTAATTATAGTCTAATTATTTAAAATAATGTATTACTTCTTAATAGTCTTTTTAATTTTGATAAAAAATTTTTTGTATTTTTTTTGTACTTTATTTTAGTGTACTGTACAGTATAATACGCTACATACCAAAAGTCGGTTAACCATTATAAATACTAAATTATTGTCTTGTTTAACTAATTTATTACTCGAAAAAATTGTACAAAAATTTAAATTACAGTATACTTACAATAGCGAGTTGCTTGAAAAAAAAGAACACGGTTAACTGACTTTTGGGCCACCCCTATAGCTAAATAAATAAATAAGATTTAAGATAAAAAATAATAATTACTGATAGCTATTTATTATCAGTAATTGAATATAAATCTTGTTAGAGTATCGTGTAACTATCAATGTAGATACTAATCAACACTAAACGATACATTTCAAGTCTATAAAAATCAATTAATTTATTTAATTTATAGCTTTAAACTTAAAAAAGAAATATATAGGCCCTATATATGCATATAAATTTATAAAATATAATTTTCACTCAATTAAATTAATAATAAATTTAATGAAAAAATTGATTAAAAAAATATTATGTATTATGTAAAGAATTTATATTTTATAAGTCTACATTTAGATATTTATATTTATAATTTAAATATGTTACTTCTCTTTTTTTTTATGTATAGAAGAAGCAGCATGTTACTCCCTTATATATAGGGTAACATGTTAAATTTAAGAATTGTTACGTTATTAAACACGAAGAAAATTCCCCAATATTAAATAAAAGAGGATAAAGTAAAGAATTGCTTATAAGAGAATGTTATAGTCTTTGTATCGTGTATATTTTGTGTAATATTTTACACTCGACTCTAGAAAATTTTTTTTTGTGTTTGGGGGGTATTGACATGCCAATTCTAGATAGGTTGATGCCTCTCGGGAGAAGTACACATCATTTCAGATAGGTTAGTGTTTTGTTTTTCTCTCGCCAGACGGCGTTAAGAATACAAGCTGGGGGGTGATTTATTGCACGAGATTCTGTAGCGACCAATCGCGAGATCTTTTCTTAGTTAGCCTCTAAGCAGGGTATCGAATATCGTATTGTTTGTGTTGACGTGGATAGGGCTATGCTGAAATAGAAGTGTTGCCAATATCTCTTTAAATTATCACAATTTGTAAAGGGGGGATAATATTATATTTTATCCTTTCCAGAATTCGAATTTTTATCGTTTTATAAATGAATATATACGATAAGAAACTTACGAAATTATTTAATAAAATAATTTATTTGACGTTGATATATAAGAAATCTTTTTGATGACTTTACGTTTTAAAATCTTGTATAGTCATTGTTTCTATTTAACATATCTGATTATATTTAAATTAATGATCATTACTTCTTATTTAATGTTTTAAGAACTAAATATGTGTAAAATTATAATGTTAATATGTAAAAATTGATAAATTTAATATCATTTTGTTCGTATTTTTATTGTGTAACGTCGAAGCCGTAGGCAGGAGTAACGCATTTGAGACAGCATCCTCACTTACTGCACAAAGTAAGGCGTGTTCCAATTTGAAGGTAATTACTTAGATGTTAACTAATAGGTCGTAAAACGATCAGTTTTCAGGATTCCTTAAACTTAACTAAGAAGCCGCTGGTGTGAGATGGGAGGGGTGACCACACACGCTGTTCCCTAAACTCCTGCTGTTTCGGATAAGGATCCTTTAGAACAAAGACAAGAACCATGTTGAGTTTTTCTCTTCGAATTTTACATTTTACATTATATTGGCATTATAGTATGGTAAATTTTACAGTGATATTACCTTATTCCACCATTTTAAACCACTGTTTGAAGTGATGCCATTTGAAAAAAAATGAGGTTACGGGTTATTATTCAGGCGATTTCCTCAAATTATTTACGTTTTTTTTATATTAAAATAAATTTTATTATGTATTTATAAGATAATTTTTCAAATAATTTATATTTTAATTTGAGATTTCTTAGAAATATTCATTTAAAAAGTAAAAATATCATGCTCATTGGTGCGTGTTAGATCAGCAAAACTATTTACATTAAAACTGTTTACTATTATTTTTATTCGGAAAAAAAATGTATTTTAAATGAAACTTGTTTTCGTAAGAAAAATTAAATATATAATTTTTTTTTTACAAATTAAAATTTAATAAATCTCATATTAAAGAGTATATGCAAGGAAACGTCACAGACTAATGACGTAATTTTTATATCAGTAAATTCACGTGATATAATAGGATAAGTGTCCAACAAATGACACACGTAGGATTGTTGTAACCGGAAGTATTCGCCACCTGTTGGTGTGACAGGAAAACATTACACGCTTTGCCAACTGTACTCAACTGTGACATAGATCGTCTCGGTCACGTGATGGCAGCGGGTGATGTGAATGAAAGACGTGTGCTAAACCATCAACAACACAAGATGAAAACGTGATAACACATATCCTTACATTGTATCAGAATGAGCCCAAACTGTTTCAAAATATTTTGATAAGGAACTAAACCATCGATGTGTCAGCAACCAACCGATAGAGAAGTCAAACCCGGATAATCGATTAAAGATTATTTATTGTTTCGAATATTTCCATTAATTAAATAATTGTCGTTTTTTTAAAATTATAAATTAAATTTCAATCAGTTCACTAACATAAATTGATTTAAATTGTTCAAAAGTTCGACTTCTTTTTGTATCATTTCTGCAAAAATTTTATACAAATGTGTTAAATTTGTTTTTACAATTAAAATTAATTTTTTAATAGTAAAAGTTTATTAGCTCTCCAGTAAAATGTATAACAATTTTTTTAAAGTTTCTTCTATATTTTTAACGTTAAGTATTCAATTTTTATAATTACTTGAAACATTATTCAGTAAAACTAAACTAGGATAAAATTAGACATAATTTATTTTATTCGTAGATAAAAAGGAGACTATAATGAGAACCAAAACAGATATATAGGAGAAAGATCTAAAGGTTTCCTATGTAGATAGAGATTCCAAGAAGCTTTCTCTTCCTCCTTCATAGGAAAAGAAGCTTCATAGAACCTCTACCTACAGAGGACTTTTAAAATCTCCTCTGAGGAGGAGGAAGAGGAAGGAGATTTTAAGAGTCACTTCAATTGTTAAAATTACACCATATTCCTTATTTATGCTTATTAATACGTAGAAAGAATTTTGTATTTAGGAAAATCAACTAGAGTGAGTTACAAAAAGAAAATTTATTTGAAATAAATATAATAGTGGAATTTTTACAACTCCTTTGAAAGTTAAAAATATAATATTCTGGATAGTATATAGAAGATCTAAAACATTATATTTATCTTAATAATATCTTTCTTTGTGCTCTTAAAATAGAATAATTAATTATTACAATAAATTATTCTAGTTTTGAATAGAATAATTTTATTATTTTCTATAAAAGCCGTTGATAAATGTAGTTAACTGTAAACAAACAATTAAATACTTGAAAGTAATCGAAGTAAAAAAGATATGTAAATAATTATTAATATATTTTAAAGATTTTTACAACGAATTCTTCGCCCATTTGGTTCAAGTTATTGTAAGAAGGTAGCCTATTAGAACTGTCTGTCTGTATATAACTTAACAAATATACAGATAGACAGATGAAACAATAATATTAACTATTTTTAAACGCGTTAAAGGTCCTAAATATAGAATAATTAACGTTAATAACGAGGCGTAAGAATTTTATAATTAAAAATTCTTAAATTAAAAGCAAAAATCTTTATAAAAATATAGCCTATATTCTTAAATTAAACAATTCGCAATTAAAAGATAAATTAATTTAGTTTACAAAATTTAATTAAAACAAATTCTAATATAGAAAAATCTACAAAATTATTATTATATTTATATAATAAGCTTTATATACATTAAAAGTTTCGAAAACAAAATAGAAAAAAAAGGTTATATACATACATAACACCAGGTTATTTATTTATTTTAATTCATTTAAAGCTTATAGA